GGGAGCAATCAACGAAGCCTTATGTCAGTATAAAATGTCACTGCAACACCACAGAGAGGCAGCAGATCTGCACAGTGGATTGTCATTCATTCAGAGAATCACATTCCACAGGCCGTAGACACGTGAATCAGCATAGCATCTGTGGCCTTAGATGTGGACTCTGACTGCTGAATCTACCCAAACCTTGCAAATGCAGGCCAAAGTGCCAAGTCAACAAAGCACAGATCTAGCTTTACATCAACGTGACTTACAGTGTTTACCTAAAATGATTTGCTGAATAGGAATAGTCTTCAGAAAAAAGACAAGATTCTGTATAAAAGACTGTGCTGTCACCTGACATATGAAGATTTCACAGGGTGGAAGTCTGGAGAACATCTCAGAAGAATAATAAAGATTAACAGTTCAGCATCAGACATAGCATGCTCTGCTGGGACTGTGTTCACGCCTGTTGCCCTGTGTTTCCAATTAACTCGATTTTGGAGCAATGGATGCTGTCCAAAGGTTTACATAAATAACAAATACAGCAAAAAGTACAGATTTCCTGAGGTGTTTCAATTTAACATTGACCAGACACATTTGCAACAAAGGCTGAATGGAAAGTCTGGTGCCTTAAAGCAGGGAAGCCATTTACAGTGGGGAACTTCCTATCTAGAAGGAATATGCCCCAAGAGATTCATATGTCAGCTTGTAACTATTCAACATGGCCAATATTTTAAATGCTTTTAGCCAGGTCAAGCCCTATGGTGCACTCATCAGTCATTGGTATGAAAATCAGGTTATTAGGTTCCCCAAGGAATATGTATCTATTAAATGTTCACATTAGCATAACCTGCAGGGTCTGTTCAGAGACAAAGTCTATTGAAACAAATAGAATTCTTCCTGAAGAAGGTATTCTTCTACTTACTTAGTCACCAAGTACTCACATAGTGCTTTTTGCTCACAAATCTCAGTGCTCCACAGTGGTTGGAGAGTTCTGGTCAAGTGGGAAAGCAGACACAGAAATAAACTGAGCTGGTGAAATTCACCCTTGGAAGAGCACAAGCAAGAGCAGGCCTTGGCAGAAATGCTGGGTCATGCAATCGCACAACAATGAAGGGAAAAACACTTCAGTCAACAAGACTTTGGAGTGCAAAGGTAGGGATGAATTTTCATACAAACAGGTACAAATAGTCTTATGTAGGCAGGCACTACTTTGGAGACTCATCTTTCCCTTCACATGTCTGCATATGTGATTACTATTTTGGCACCCTTCTAAACCATTTCAAATTAGACCAGTCATGTATTTTACACAGAAAACTGGGATATTATACACTGAAAAATGGACAGTATATTTTAAGAGATTCATGTAATTCATTGAGAACCAGTAGCTTCTCATGGAAACCTATCTCACCGAGTATGCTGAGAGCCTATATTCTTTTTTCCTGCTTCCCTGTCCTTCATTTGTTAAAAAGAGTTGCATGACAGCAAGGTTTTTTTCCTTGAAGTTCATTAATTCCAATTCCTTCTCCTTCATCCGAAATCACAGGCTGCTGACTATGAAATCACCATTCTTCGTGATAAAGAGAGAGCATTTGCAATAAAACCATTAAAAGGAAGAATGTCTAAGGCCTTAATGAAACATCAAACAAAACAAGATACTGTGCTTAAAGGTATAAAAACTATATTTTCTGAAGATTTATGAAGATAACTGGATACTAATATTTTCTGGCACTTCCAAGGACTTTTTCTGCAGCTCACTGGGAAGTCCTTACTCTGGAAATTTTTGAGAGATCTCTTACATTTCTCCTAGTGCTTTCTAGGAATGACACCAGTCTGTTTTAGCAATATTCCTGATGCTTTCTAGGAACTCACCTTCTGCTTTCTAGCAATTCATTCACTGCTTTCTAGGAATTTTCCCATCACTTTCTATGGCTTCCCCATCTGCACTTTAGAAATCCTGATACTTTCTAGGAATTCCCCTGGTGCTTTCTAGGAAAGTCCTGTCTGTTTTCTAGGAATTTTTCCTACACTTTCTTCAAACTTTCACAGTGTGCTAGGAATTCACATGACACTTTCTGGGGATGTTCCTGATGTTTTCTAGCACTTCTCCCCTCACTTTCTATGGATTTTGTTTGCAGCTTTCTAGAAATTCCCTTGTTCCTTTATAGGAATCTTTCCACCATTTCTTGAACTGATCATCAAGGAGCAGTAAGACACGGGCTGCTAGATGAGGGAAGCTGTGAGCAACCACAGCACAGACAGGACTGCAACCTTTGGCACCTGGGTGGGGCAAGTAGAGCATCGCTGGGACAGCGGCTGGGGCCATCAACACCCCAGCCACAGTCAGACGAACGCAAGGTAGCAAGTTGTGACCAAAGTCAATTCAGGAAATCCAAACGAGTATTCAGGAGCAGCAGGGAACAGGGTTTGAAACAGGCACACCGACTACGTGTAGCTCATGCAGGCATGTTTCTAGGGTTAGAAAGCACTCTCATTTAATAATTTCTACATTCAGTGTTTTGTAAAATAACCTAATTAGAATCTCTGTATTCCCTATCAAATGATGAATTGGTATAGATTTTTAACATGAGAAACTCTGAAATGTTAATTTCAGAATTTTCTACTTATAATCCGTTGCAGAATTTATTTAATAATGGGATGTAGGCAAACTGTTTCTTCTCCCCTCTGGAAATACACGAGAAATTATTCCAATACAAAATTATTTCATCATAAACTTACAGGTATCGTTTCATGGATTGCACATTCTTCTGTTTAGTACATTACTTACATCCTTCCTGTTTAGTCCATGTGGTAGAAAATAATTGTTAAAGGTTCCACTACAGGATTCTTAGACTTGCTGAGGTTTAAAGTTGGTTGGTACAAATATTTGGTACGGTTTTCATTCCTACCGATGTGTTAGCCAGTTCCTTTGCTAATTATAGACAGCTGGCCAGCCAACGTTTTTCAAAATATGTTTGAAAGCCCTTGGATGCACACAAAGTCCGAGTTAATTTCTAGTGTGGGAATGAAGATTAAATTCTGAGTCCTGTCTTGACATTTTAGGTGAATCCTCATTGCATAATGAAATATGAGACATATCACATAAAAACACATTTTTTCCTAAGAGCTTCTACAACTTTAAATATCATTATGTAGTATTTCATATTTAAAAAGTGGGGACCAGTAAATATTTAGCACATACACAGACAAGAGAACAGACCTTCCTACACATTATTTGCCAGCTGCTACACAAGCTGTTGAAATACTTGCATACATCATTTTCATTGCTCTGTGTTGGATACTAAAGGTTGGACATTCCTCACTAAAAAATCACTACAAAAATTAGGTAGAGCCAGAATTCTACCACAAAGGGCAGAATTATTCACTGCCCCTCGGTATGCTCTTGCAACTCAAATGGTGAAGCAGAAACTGGGACTCCATAAACTTACTGTTCCCCTCAGCCAGTTTAGTTGAGACACGTTATGTGTTAAATTCATCTTAAAAGGATACTTGTCAGCTTCTTTAGATCTCTGACTCTGTGAACTATCTAACCTACATCTGAGTTGCCCCAAACAATGTTAAGATGTGAAACACAGACATTCCAATGAAGGACTTTTTCCTAAAGTTTTTCACTGATTATGGAGAAACTGTAAGTTATTTCTTTCAACCTCCAATATAATGTGAATTTGGAATATCTTTTCAGGGTATGTCATACATATAAAAACATAAAAATGAAAATGTAACACATGTAAAGTACTAATACTTCAAAAATACCTGTTCTAATAATTTTTATGCTACATTTTTGGAGCCAGTTGTTCATACAGTGTATAGAAAGGTGTTTAATACTGTTTATGTAGATATAGCTTATGAGTCGTTAACACTAATCTTTGCTACAGGTGCCCTAGGAGATAAAAAATATGAGACAAAATCCTTTCAATTCAACATATGCTTATGGACATCTAGAAAACTATGACATGGAAAAGTTTTACTATCACCAGGCTCTCGATGTATTTGCAAAGGCATTTAAGAAAACTGCCTTTAGTAAATACAATTTGAAATTTCTAATAAAAACTCATTTCCAGCTCTTTACAGATCATTTGTATTAGTCTACAGAAGACTGAAACCCAGTGCACAAATCAGTCAAGGTGCCAAGTAAGTTATGAAAAATGTCTTCAAGAAATTGAGATGGTTTTGATACTGGTAATTTGATTAGTATTTTTCTGAGATTCTGGCTCTTCAACTAAATCAGCAATCTATCAAAAATCGGTGAAAGTCTGCAAAAATACATAGATCTGATTCTATTTTCATTAGCAATGTGCTAAATTAGGAATATGCACAATGAAAGCATTAAGGTTGCACTATTGTAGAACTTGTATAAATGAATGGAAAATCAAGGCAATATTTCTACTGAATTGGGTAGTTTTCAGAATGCATATTGAGAAAACTTTAAGTCTCCTACATATATGTGTGAAATAGCTGTGCTACCTAATTTTTTAATCCTCTGATTTCATATTCACATGAAGAATCTACGTTCTCACAACAGAATAAATGTCCACAAACACACATGTGGGTATTTTCTGACATCTACTGAATTCAGAAAAATGAAAAGTAGACAAAACAGCATTTTTGGCATATGAACATGATTGCCAGGATTTAGAACAAAACATTTCCTTGCCAAGCTCTCCTCCTTTCCCAAATCAGAAACAAACAAAAAATAGCCTTACATAACTGCCAAGCATATATTCTTTTTAAATATAATTCAGTTTTTGTGTTATAGCCAAACCCATTCTGGTTAACATGTATCTTCTCATCCTCTCCATGTTTGATTACACAACAAGCTCCTGATTTAAAGACCATTGAAATCAATGGAAACATTCATACATTACAAATGAAATGTTTTCCTTTTGAATTACAGAGACGTAGTAAGAAAATCTGATACAGTATGGCCTTCTGCGGATTATCAGTGCGGCCAGTGACGGATCTGTGAAGCACTGGATGCTACTTACTTGTCCCTAGGTGACATGGCGCTGGCCATCGCCTACTGCAAAAAAGTACTGCCTGTATTTGAAGAGTCAAAGGTACTTTTTGTTTGCTCTCCCTGTTTGTTCTATAAAGCACACAGAGGACGGAAGTCGGAGGGTTTCTATAGGCACTGGGAAACAACATGAGCTACAGTGGTCTAAGAGCTTGCTTCCTGCGCAGGACTCCATTCACTTCAATATGCTTGCACACACCTAACTGCCTGCGAACTGAGCTTTCAGCTGCACCTTTCGAAATAAAACTCTCCCTCCCACACAGTATCATTCAATGGTGATGCAAAAAACTTTCCAGGAGAGGTTAGTTTAAAGGAATGACTATACTCTCCGGCTTGCCTTTTTTTTCTTTTACAGAACTGATTATCTGAAATTCTGCCTACCAAAATGCATTCTGCTATCCCTAAATTTTAAGGCAATCTTGTAACTATTTTACTTCAATCAATGGATTTCTTAACAGCCAGCTAGGGAATCTCACAGTCCATTATAAATTAGCAAAAAAAGTTTTTTATGTAGAACCGAGATTATCTGGAACACCAGTTACTGTTTTCAAAAATAAAATCACCATAGCGCTTATTTTTTCAAATTTTGCAAGGCATAGTTATAGCTCCAAAACTCACAGAGACACTCTTCAGAGGCAGTCTCAAAGAGACAACGCTGCTCACCAGAATGGGAAATACACACCCTGTATTTCAGAGAAAGGGTGTACCATGTGTGTTGAAAAGATGAGATAGTGTTGAAAGCGCACTTTGTGAAAAGGGGTTGAGACAAGACGCTAGCTGGCAGTGTGGCTTTGGCCTGTTCCACTTCACAGAGCAGGCTCTGATCTGCACTTTGCAGCACAAAGGTACGAGTGAAAAAATTATCTCTCTGAACTGCACTCAAGCCTCTGCTGGTTATATAGCCCTGAAAAGTCAAACCAGATGGAATTTTTTATTCTAAAAAATCTAAAATTAACACAATAGCAATTACACCACTGTGATCAGTAATGAGGCCTTTTATGTTTGGATTTGCCTCGCAAGAAATATTCAGCAATTCAGAAATTCTCATTTCTTTCTTTTTCGAACAGGAAAGAAGATGGCTTTTCACACACAAAGCTGCTCTAACTCTAGGGCAGGGGAAAGAATTGAGAGACAGACATTGTATAGAAAGGACAGCACACTAAAATCATGGTTAATTTGCTAGACCTCCTGTCCCTGTCACCCAGCAGTTGCTGAAAGGCAGGCTGTGATGCAGCACTGGTGCTTAGGAAGGGTAGGTAAGCAGCAGCTGCTCCATCTGGGTTCCTCCACAGAGCCAACAAGAGGTGCAGCCGTAGCAGATGCGATCTAGGTTTTATATTAGCTTTTCCAGAGACTAATAGTAGCAGTGGCATAGACCACGTAAGCCTTCCGGGAAGTCAAATGACTCCAGCGGCTAACCTGTCCAAAGGCCTCTTGATTCCCAAGTTTGCTATACAGAAATCTTGTGTGTGCTGCAAAGCTCCTACCTGCAGTGTAACCTGTCATTTGTGCTGCACATTACCTTCATCACAGTGCAGAATGAGAGTTTGGGGGGACCCATGAGAGCTTAACTTTCATGTGAGCTGATGCCACCAAAAATTAGGAAAACAACTTGAGCATTAACTGTCAGTATCAGTTAACATTAGTTGAAATGTGTGTAGCTTCTCTGCAGATCTGAAATGTAATCTCTTTCAGTGGACCTATGACTGATGTGACAACCTGAATATGGGGCAATTTCTGCCTGAAAAGTCATGGCAGCTGGGTCAACTAATGTCCTGAATATTTTATTACAGACAGCTTTTCCCTCCATAAAACTCACTGGATGATACTTAACACTTTGTGAAACATGTTACAGCATACCATTTGGCCAGTGGATGGATAACTATTTTGTCCTGTCTTACTCATCCCAAAGAAAAAAAAAACCAAAACACAAAAATCAGAGGCACATTAATCCAATTACAGCAACTTCCCAAAACTTGTATTAATTATACAGACAGTGGAGATTACGCTTTCTACTGATCCATGATTAGTATCAATAATTACTATCCCATGCAAAATATAGACTACGTAATCTATATGATTGAAAAACACTATTCTTGCCCTAGTGAATGACATGCAATTGAAAAAAAGCAACAGAAACAACAGAAAAGTAAAGAGATAGCAAAAGAATCATCCTCCTCAGAGAAAACTTTATAAACAATTTCTGGAAAAGAAAGTTTTGAAGCATAAACAAGGAATCGGCCTACTGCGTTGAAGAGAACAGTGTTTTGCCTATTTTTTTTGGTAAATAAAAAGGATTTAACCAATTAACTATGTGGCTTCAGCATTGATCTCTTTTTGTAAAGGAAACAGCTTGTAAAACCCTGAGCATACGGAGAGTGCAGGCTGATGTCTACAAGTTTCAGTAAATACTCAATACTGTTATATCTGAGAACTCAATATTTGTCTAATGACAGAATGCACTAAATTGCTTCTCCCTCTTGTTTAAGCAGGACTGTGAAGGGTGGGTTGTGAGATGTCCTTATTTGCCCTATCAGGCAATTTGCCAGTGTGCTTTGAGTCCTTAACACAGTAGTCATTGGCTTTCAGCTTCATAGAAACATTTAAAAGACTTGTGGTAAACTAGGAAGTAATTTCTCCGTGTTTTCCAGCATTAGGTTATTCTCTGGCCACCACTACAACACACTCTGTAGATAGTCTTTATGAACTGATCCCTCTGCCCTGTTTTCATAACCCTAGTTAAAAATGAATCACTCACCTAGCACCCCAACATACCAAGCACTAGCCCCGAACCGAGGAGTAAAATCCTGACCCAGATTTCCTGAAGAAGTGGAGTTGGGGTGTTTGCTTAGACCCAGCATGAAGCCTTTGTTTCCATTTATAATCTGATACTGGATGAAGGGAGAGAAGGAGGAGGAGCTAGGGAGAGGTGGGGGAGATGAAAACCAGTGTCTCTCTTGGACTCACACTTGCAGACAAAACTCCACGCAGTTTGGATTCTCACTTCTGTGAAGTGGGTGTTCCCAGCACTTCTAAATTTCCTGATTCCTACAGTCTTACCTCTAAAACCGAATGGATTCACAGTTGCACAAAACATTTCAGTCTGAGTCAAAACCTGAATTTCATTATGTGGTTCAACACAGTTTATTTCTGTACAAACACAGCCCCGTCAGTCAGTTGGAAAGTGTCATTGGATATTTTTTGCCTATCAGGAAATCAATTGTCTGTCCATATAAAGGCGCAATTTTTATTTTCTGTCATTAAAACTTCCTTACTGTCATACCTTACTGATTATCACTGAAACTTACTATGGAAATAATAATTCTTTCAAGTAAGAGATGTACGTATAAACCACCAGAAATTGTGACCCAGTCTTTAGTGTGCAAGGTCGTTTGACACTATTTTGCTTTCTAGGAAAAAATACACGTGTTTTCTTGTAGAAACTATCTCCAAGGCAAACACAGTTATCTTACATTTGAACAGCAAATTTAGTAAGCTATTGTCATATTTTTAGCTGTTTATATTTAAGAGCCCTGGAACATCCATCTTCTGTGTAAAACTGCTCTTGACAATATACAAACTTCAGTGCTCCTGGCAACTGTGACTTATTAAAATTAAGTTGCCTTTGTTGAAGAGACTCCAAGCTGACGCATGCACATGGAATTAAACAAAACCTAATAAAGATACTCTATATTCAAACTAAGGAGCAACAGACATTTCAGATATTGCTGAAATTTGTACTCTTTCAGCACTTCATGCCACCAAATTCTACTATCCTTATATTCCCTCAAGCTGGAATTGTATTAAAAGAATTATTAATCTTCAAGAAAATATAAAACACAAAATAAAAAGGGAAGGGCAACTTTAATACTTTGGTACACACAGAAAATGCTAAGAAACCAAAATTTGTGCTAACCATTAAAAATGAAAAAATAAATATGAATTTTTAATAAATCTAGGAGAAGAAGTTTTCAGCAGAATACAAAGCTGGGAAGTATTCCCACTCCTGGCAGCATCATACTGCTCTCTGCATTGGTGGGAGAAGGAGCACTGTCACTCCAGGTGTCTACCAGAAGAGCTCTGTCAGTCGATGTGATCCTGACTGATCAGATCTGCTGGCTGACGCGCCCCCGGTTTGCTCATGTGAAGTGGAATTTGGCCATAGTCATGGTCTGAAACACAGGATGGCTCTACTGTACAGGTACACAGTGCATCAAACTTTTTCACCCCTGCAGGCGGGTGTTCGTAGTGAAGCTACGGAGGAAGATTCTGGTTATGCTGATTTAGGAAAAAGGCTACACACCATGACCATATCAGCTTTTAACAGGTGAAACGCGCTGGGTGACAGATACCATCTGAGCACACGGGACAGTGGTGAGATCAGCATTGTCCTCTCCCAAGTCTTCCAAATGCACCACTTTGGAGAGAGAAAGACTGAATTAACTGTTTTACCCGTCCTTGTCTGCACTTTCTTTCCCTTTGGGCTGAGCAGCGTACAGCTTCTCCATCTCCTGTGCCCGACCAGTTCCATCACCTGTCATTAGCAGACTGTTTTAAGATGCCTGACAATATCAAGCTCGTTAGCAGCATTTTCCATCCAAAAATGGCAAACATTTTGCAAGAACTGACCTAATCAAGCACTGCTGGAAAGCTGCGCTGAAACGACGTTTTTGCCTGTGTTGTCCCTAGTTTGCCGTCAAAGTAACTGAAGCCAGGAGGACATCGGTTCACCGAGTTGGTCAATAATAAATCTGAAATTCAAATTTCGGGTCCCAGATCCTGGCCCACTGAAGTAAATTCCAACATCGCAGCGGCTGCTGCGGGCCCTGCCTCCTGTGTTACAACGCGGCTGGCCCCGTGCCCCGGGGACGCGCTGTTCTCCCGGGCCGAGTGC